ATTCCTTATGGTTAGAAGCACATGGTGAGACAGAAGGCAAAGGGCTCATTGTCACCGTTATTTAAACTGAAAGGGCAGGCCAAGTGGTGTGATTTGAGGGCCTTCAAACTGGTTCTGATTTGTTAATGCTTCTGCTGTGCTAGTTGTTAATATAGTATTGCTTTTAGACCCAGGCAAGCGGGACCTCTGTCCTGAGCTCCATGCTTTAGAGGCCCCACTTTGGCTCCCTTCCAACCACACCCCTCCCTACAGGGCCAGGAGCCCAGTGCATGGGAACAAGGGGTGTGTCCCTGCTAGACCCTGTTCCAGGTGCCTGGCACCCCTAACAGTCCCAAGACGGCTGCCAGGGCCTGCGTGCCCCTCTTGCGGCTGTCCCCGGGAGGGCTGACTGCACGGCCGGCGTAGGCGCTCCCAGGCCTAAGGGAGGCTTGTATGCCCAACACGGATGGGGCCTGGCCTAGGAGCCGGGGCAGGGGCAGGGGCAGGGGCAGGGGCAGGGGCGGGGGCGGGGGCAGGGGCGGGGGCGGGGGCGGGGGGCAGGGGCAGGGGCAGGGGCAGGGGACTGGGAGCAGCTCTTCCCACACCACTGGAGCAGAACGGAGAGGAATCCACCAATTCTAAATCCCAACTTGGCCTTTTAGGTCGTTATGAAGGTACATTTGTCATGGAAGGAGATAAACCATTAACTACAACATGCCTTATTAGGTGATTTAAACATTTCAAGTATTTAGACACGGTACATGGATCCCCAGCTGAACTCTTTTTCTGAACCCTGCAAATGTTACAAATGTTACAGGAGGGCCCAGTTAAATGCCTGGTCTATCACCCCTTCCCCTTGCTCATTCCGTGTTACACTTTGTTACCTGAGTGCAGTGAGGCACCTTCCTTTTGCCAATGACTTGTTCCAATAGCCCATCTTTCTACAGAACTTAGACCTAGTCCCTGGGCCAGACTGGAGTACAACCACCATCTTGCCCCCCTACTCACTCCCATGTGCATTCTCTCTCCCATCTGGCTCTTTGTCCCCCAGGTGTTCACATACATGAAAACCTCCTCTTCAATACCACTTCTCCCCCATACAAATACCCATCTGGAGGCCATCAGCTTAGTCAGGCACACCTGCATGGGGGCCCTTTATGCCCTGCACAACCTCTTAAGATCATTTTGCTTCTTTTACAACCCTTGGGTTTGAGTTGCCAATATCCTATTCAATTTCCCTCCCCCTGTGACAGAAACAGACAACAGAACAGGTGTTATTAAATTTATTTGCATACAGCAAAAATCGAGAATGCCAAAAGAAGCTGAAAACTTGTCAGAATGTGCCTCTACGCATTACTAAAACTTAATCTTCTTACTTAAAAGCAGGGTTTTGTTGTTAAGCGTGGAAAAGTCATTGTTAATAGAGAGTTCTTAGAGTGAGAATTACCTAATAGAGGTCCACCCTGAGAGAAGGGGGAAGGGTGATATAACAGCTAATCTACCAGAATTACCTGGAAAAGGGCATCAACCTTAAGGAACGGTTCACTATAGGAATACAAAGCAAATCAACCTCAATAAATCAAAAACCTAGAATTACCAAAAAGGCAAAGATACAGTATCAGGAAAAATAGATGTTTTATAGAGAAAATGCAAATTTCAGCATATGATTGTGCAATGTCACATTATACTGTCGTCAGCAAAACCAAGCGCCAGGGGTTTAAATAAGCTCTGGCAGCTCACTCCCTCTCTGATTTTTTTTTTCCACGAAGCAGCACTCCACTCAGAACGCAAAGGCACAGTTATGTCTAGGCCTGCATTTCTGTTTAAGCAAAGTAACCCTGAGGTCACAGAGGAAGACACAGTGAAAGGTAGACTGAGAAGACACTTCTGGGGCTCCTAAGAAAATGAGCTAGGTCCTGTCCAGGCATCCAAAGGAAGTTCTCAGTGTTTGGTGTGTTTGGGGGATGAAATAGAGAGGAAGGACTTGGGGTGAGTGGTTCAGTGGGGAGGTGGGGGCTGTCCAGCCTAGTAACTTTTGAGGTGTGTGCCTCTAGGAATGAGGGCAGGGAAAGGCTGATTTAATCACTTAAGGCTTCCAGTTAGCAGAAAGTTAATTGTTCTATGGCTTTGGGATGGCAGTCTTGCTTTGGGCTAAAACTTTGTGAAACAGAGCCTGCTGAGGGGAAGGAACTAGAAGTTTCACTACATGGAGTTCTCCACCTTAAGATTGGAGCCAGGGGGAAAGACAGCTCTCCAGTGGCCCTAGGCTTCCTTGTGGAGGGCTTCCCATCTGCCCATTGAAAGTATAGCTTTTAGCGTCTATAGAATTTTGAATTTCAACAGGGTCTTAAGTGCTTCAACAATAGGGTGTGTACGACATCCAGTACATTTCTGAGCAACTGGAGAGGGTCACAGTGGTGTTGGGGCAAGAGGTCAAACACTAATGGACTAACCATCCAGAGGAGTATGATAATCCCTAAGAAATGTTCCACATCATAGGAAGGTGCCCATTGCTGCTGGACCTGCAACAGCTTGACATGGGGCATGTGTAAAGAGAGAGTTCTGTATAAGTTGCAGGCATTGGGGTCCTCCAGGGAGACAAAGAAGGTGTTTCAAAGGGCAGTGGGCTGATTAGGGGACTGGCTGTGCAAAGTTTTTCTTGAAGATCCAGAATTTTTACTTCCACCACCTCTTCTAGGGGCCTTTGCAAAGCCTGGAGCAGCAACCAAAGAATTGAAGGATTTAACTAGGCTCATAAAACCCAAAAGCCAATCCTTAGGCCAAATTGTCTGGACATTTCCATTAGAATAAATTTATTTGATCAAGGGAAATGTCCATCTCTTAGTTGCCCCAATGAAGTGTTTTTGCTTTCTCCCTTCTAAAGCATATTGTCCAAAGTCAAAGATTTCCCAGTTCTACAGCAGTGCAAACATTTTACATAGTTTCATAGAGGAAATGCTGAGTTTTCAGGTGCTGGCAGTGACTATTGAAGATTAGGCATTCATGGCATTTGTTTCACTCAAATAATTATTAGCTTTAATTCCCATTTCTAAGGTTCTTTTGCTTAATAAAAAGTGGTTACAGTAAAAAAATGACTTTGTGGCATTAATACAGCTATTGGCGATTATCATTTGAAATGCTGATGCTCCACCCAGGAGCTATTTGATTACATGATTTCTGCTATTTGGCTCCACGCTTTGGCTTTCTTCTTGGCCAGGGAGAACCAGACTGGCTCAACCTGCTCGACTGACTCAACCAGCTCCACTGTATCAGCTGGATCCACTGGCGCAACCACCTCAACTGGCTCAACTGGCTCTTGGAACATGGCTGGGAGAGTTGAAGATCGCCGGGTTTCTTTTCCCATGGCAGGCACTTGAAATATCTTCAGATCTTCAAATCCTACCAGAACAACAGCAAATAAAACACAAGTAGTAAGAAGCCCCAGAGATACTGATATTGCATCATGAGATCCAATACAATTTTTCCTCCTTTCAGGTTTCTTCTGGCTTCTAAAAGTCAGTGCTTGGGCACTGCCATTGGTGGTATGTCAAAGATGTAAAATCAATGTGGCTATGACCACAGGGGCCTGGACATGGGAAGGTCTGAGAGAAAATACCCACAGCTATAACTGCCAGTCTTTGGATGGCTATTATTAGATTGTCTTACACTTTTGAAGTGAGACTACAGAAGAAACATATTGTATGGTATCTGTTCAGTTTTTTAAATTTTAAATAAGGTAATATTATTTTTGTTTTGCTAATCCACAATGTTGTGCGAAATGACTGATGACTCAATAGATCCATCCAGTAAAAGTAAAAGTCTGTGCTAAATGACATTGTACCAACTGCTCTGACCAACCAGACTACCTCCCTATTCCCCAATTCTATTCCTTCCCTCATCCTGCTTTATGGTTGATTGACTTATGGCTTAGACTCAAACAGTGGTTCTCAACCCTGGCTACACGTTAGAATCACCTAGGGCTCTTTTTAAAAGTACCAGTGCCCACGCCATTTCCTGAACTAACTGAATTAGAATCTCTAGCAATGGAGCCAGGGCCATCTGTAATTTTTTAAAAACTCACTGTGTGATTCTAATGCACAGTGAGAGTTGAGAACCACTTGGCAGGAGTACAGTGCCCATGAGGCCATTAATAGCTATAGTCAGGCACTGCTATTTCATGGCCAGACAGTGGGTTCCTAAATTCCTAGTCTAGTTAATTTCTTCATGAGGGACCTAAGGGAGAGGACAAAGATGATGCAATGTAAATCCATTCTCCTCTCCTCTTGCTCCTGCTGAAAAAACATCCCTCTGGCACACAACCCTACTGATAAGACCACATTCTATTCTATCCCAGCAGAGTGTTTTTTCAGCTTTCAACATTTCCCCACCTCTCACATCCCTGCTCAGAATATGAAGTGGCTGAAACAAGCCTTTTAAATAGTTAAAAAACAATTCAATACCATTGGGCCTTTATGGTGGATTATTTTCAACAGTTTCATTGGGAATATAGAAGGTGAGAAAATACTGCTTTGATGTGAACTGGAAGGTAGCTTGGTTCTTTCCTCTTAAATACTAGCTACAGGAATGTATAAGTGAGTGATCATAATATTGTGCCTTTACAGCTTCCTTGATGGGGTAAAAGACTGGAAGACTCTCTGAACCTTACACACTGGACTTCTAGTAGTCATAATAATTAGACTTTCCTAAAACAAGCTAATATTTGTATCTAATGAAAGAGTCACGAAAGACTCATGAAGCTGATTTGGGGAGGAAAAGACATGTATTGTCTAAGCCTGAAATTGTAAAAGTTTTACCACATTTCACCAGAGCTATTTTTTGGGGAGCGGGGTGGGGGTTTTTACCTGCTTTGGCAGACTTAGGTAGCTTCATTTGTGCCATCTTCTCCTGTCTATTGACATCAGAAGTGAAAATCATTCTTGGTTGGTTTTCATTTGCATGGCTAGTTCCCTTTAATACAAAAATTAAAACAGAAAGTTTATAAGTCCTGACATGAAAATAAAAATTATTTATTCAGAAGACCACAAAGTACCAGCCCTATCCTGGGTATTATGAGTTCAACATTAATCAAAGGGAAAGAGAGAGAGAGAAAGAGAGAGAGAAGGGAAGAAATAGCACTGAGAACACCTTGGTTCAGAATTTAGGTTCACAGAACCTAGCTGGTTCAAGTTTACTACCTTTCAGATCTGGAAGAAAATGTTGTCTAATCATACAAATAGTGTAAACAGGTTAACAGCAGAACTAATTTAAGAACAATCCTTTCCCTCGCACTTTACCAGCACCTAACAGCAAGCTAATAGAATGTGGTGGTTACACACAAATCTTATCAATTAATTGAAGTGAGTTCCATAGGATTTCTACTTAGCAAACCTTGTTGACATCTGACTGGCACTCCTTGCATTAGAAAGCTATATAACTATAGGTCTTTTCAAAATTGTACAGTTTAAGTTTTTCAAATTAACCTCTCCATAACTGGTCTAAGTTAACGAGTTTGTATTCTCTAGTGTATTTCCCCCTGACAAAAGCTTTAACCAAGGTGGACTTTTCCCCTGTATAATCCTGCTCCCATAAAAATACTAATGATGAAAATGAAAAGATCTTTAAAGCAAAGAGTTAAAGAGATCCTCACGTGATCTCTCAATGACAGTAAGCACTTAAAAATATAGGAACTTAGACATCTCTCTTGATACGTAAATTTGATGTTTTCTTGAGTCAGTTTTCTGCAGTTTTGACAAGAGGGAGTCTCATTCCAACACTTCCAAAGACATTGCAAATGGGACATTGGAAGCAAAACATAATCCCAGCACCCGTGATCCACATGTGGTACCATTAGCCTAGTTCATCACATAACTTTTCTTTTAACCTACAGGGAGGTGCCACACCAAACCAAATCAATATGTAGAAACCCAAACATCAAACATTACCTTTATTTACATGAAGGTAAATCGTTATGTACTGATATGGAAAGGTACTCAGAAATAAAAAGTTAAGTGAATAATAATACGTATAGTTTGATTACATTTATAGTTTCTTAAATACATATACATATCTATGGGCATAAAACATCTGTAAGAATAGTTACTCAACTCTCACCCCAGTGGTTACTTTTTTTTTTATAACTTACTCCTTATCTTTCAACCAATTTCATAGAATCCTGCTCTAGAATATTTAGGATAGGATTGATTTATAGAATCTTCTCATATTCATTACTTTTCACAGATCCTTTAAGAGCATAAAGTGGGGCATGTTTGTATGAGTACAAAGCAAGTCTTTTCCCTGAAGGGTCCCCCTGCCTTGATTAATGCACCCAAAGAGGTGGGGAGCTGTATGCCTGGCAAAGTTCCCAATGCAAGCTTAACCAACTGGCTCCAGCAAACTTTTGGAGTGTTTTCTGGGTTGCCCCAGGTCCTACCCCATGTCTAGGCTCCTTAGTCTCAGCCTTGGCTCCAGCTCTGTTCTTGGTTTTTGGCTCTTTCATAGGAGTGTGGGCCTGGGAACTCCTTTGCCTCTGCTTTATCATGGTTATCCAAGCTGGCTGTGGGGTAGTAGAATCTGACTGTTGATCAGGAACCTCTCCTGAGAAAGGAATGACAGGAGTTAGAACTGAAGTGAGGCAGGCAGGGTCTTGAGCCTGGCTAGGGCCTACCCACAATAATGTCCCAAATGAGATCCTTGTTAGTTGACAAGGGAAAATAAACAGATATCACGTAGAGAAGGGCCCCCTTCTTTTGTGCCCTCCCCACAACCTGGCAAGTCAGGAATTCCTTGGGTAGATAAGAAGCTTTACTTCAAAGTTTGCATACTGTCCTTTTACTGGTCCCCTTCCCTCCCGTCTTCATCCCTCTTCTTATCCCCAAATCAGGGTAAGATAATGGTTGCCAGGTGGGCTGGGAGAATTCCTGGGAGGCCAGAGACTCAGGTCATTGATATCATTCCTCTAACTCCAAGAAAAATCTTATAGCATTTGTTACTTCATAGGCCCTCATGCAAGTGTGTGGTTACATGGGCGTGGTCATAGGCATATACAAGACTATGTGATAGTGAGTCTGAAGGTAAAAAGGCTTTGAGAAAGATTAGTGCTCAAAAGATCACCTAGCTCTGGATTCTTAGACATTTCAAGTGATTGAAATAGCTGTGGAAATACAAACATTTACAGTAAATTAAGATTTCAAGCTGAGAATCTGAATATAGTGCTCTGTAAATGAGTTGACTTAAAAAACCCATATGGTATTGGGGGGAGCATAATGTATGTAAAAGTATCTTGAGAAAAGCATAAAATTCCATCTAAATGTAAGGTGCACAGAGGGTGGTAGAGAGGGAATTCCAGTCATGTGTCTATTACAAAATGTGAATGGATGTCCATAGGGGGCCCCCTGAGGAAATAGAAGACTCAAAATTAACCATCTCCAAATCCATTGATCTAGAATGGAGCACTATCCTGCCCCTAAATCCACAAGCCAGCCCAATCAAAGCAACAATTCAGCAGGCAAGGCTACAACAGACTTCCTCCCATTCAAGACTTTGACTTCCAGTTCTTCCCTCCATTTGGTACTTACTTGCCATCTGGAAAGATAAAATCTCACCTGGGATCGTGTAAGCCGGTTGCTTCCTGGCCATGCTTTCAGATTTGGGCCTGCTCTGTTGCTTCTCTGCAAAGTCAGATGTTGTGGTGAGGTTCTCCGCAGTGCCCAGGAGCCCCTGGGAGGTGCTTCTTCTGATTTGCTGTTCTCTAACTATGGAAGATGAAATTGGGCCCAAAGAGAATGAAGGAAGCTTGGTAAAATCACCTTGTTTCTCACTCTTGCACTTTGGTGAGGAAGAGATTCTTCTCAGTCGGACTCCAAAAAGGTTTTCAACATCAGCCCCATTGGCGAATAAATCTGAACAGCTAATATTTTGATCACCACTCTCAAGAACTTCCTCCTTAGAGTGAGTGTCCTCTGAAGTGGATGCTTCCCAGGCAGAAGCAGTGGTGAACTTCACAGGTTTGGTAGCAGTAGTCAGCATGTTCTTAATGAGGTCTTCAGCGACTTGGCGGTGTTTCTTGGTTTCGTTTGGAGAAGCTGGGCTTCTTGGTGGGGACCAGCTGCTAGAATTGCTCTCAGGAGTGGTTCCCTCAGCAGCAGCACTCACGGAACTTAAATAAACCTGTTGCTGATATTCAGGGTCTGCAAAAGCCTGAAAAGAGTGTCTTGGAGGCAGGTGCTCCTCAGAAATGTTCCACTCTACAGGTACACTCACTGAGTCTGTTGAGAAAATCTGTGGCTGGAATTCAGCTCCGTCCTCAGCTCGGAAAGGGCATCTGGAAGACAGCTGCTGTTCAGAACTCGGTTCTTCAGTAGAGCTCTCAAAAGCTGAGTAGACTTCTTGCTGATAGTCAAGCTTCCCCAGTGCCCGGGAAACGTGTCTGGGAGGCAGCTGTACTTTCAAACTTCTCCACTTCACAGGAGCACTCTCTGAATGTGACAAAACTTCTTGCGGGTCTTCAGGCCCCTCCGAGGACTGTAAGGGGTGTTTCGTAGGCAGCACTTTCAAAGAAATGCCTCCCTTGATATCGGCACTCTCCCAACTTGAGGAAACTTGGCGGTCAACTTTAGGCCTCAACAAAGATTTGGAAGGTTGATTTGAAGACAAAGGATCCACATAAACATCCCCCTCAGTAGCAGGGCTCTCTGAAAAGATTTGCTGTGCCATAAACTTCACAAATGACTGGGAAGGATGCCTCAGAAGCAGCGATTTCTTAGACATGTCTCCTTCAGCAGCAGTGTTCTCTACACATGAGAACATTTCCTCAAAATTAGACCTCGTTAAGAACTGAGTTGGATATTTGCCAGGGAGTGGGCTTCCAGAAATATCCCCCTCAACAGCAGCATTCTGAAAACTTGACATTTGCTGGACTTTATGTCTCACAAAGGACTGAGAAAGATGTTTGGGAGGCAGTGGCTCTGTAGAAGTGCTCCCCTCAATGACAACACTCTCTGGACCTGCAGAGATTGGTTGGTTGACTACTGGTTTCATCAGGGGCTGGGAAGGCATTGTGGGAGGCAGTGGCTCCATAGAAATGCTCTCCTCAACACCTGTGCTCTCTGGACCTGCAGAGATTTCTTGCTTAGCTCTTGGTTTCACTGGGGGCTGAGAATGATGTCTTGGAGGCAGCAGCCCCATAGAATTGATCCCTTCAACAGTAGCAATTTCTGGATCTGAGGAGACTGGTTGCTTGACTTTAGGCCTCATCAGGTGTTTAGAAGACGCTCTGGGAGGCAGCGGCTCCATAGAAATGCCCCGCTCAACAGCAGCGCTCTCTGGACCTGCAGAGGCTTGTTGCCCGAATTTAAGGCTTACCCAGGGCTGGAAAGGGTGCCTGGGAGGCATCGGCTCCACGGGACCAATCCATTCTACAGAAGCACTCATTGAACCTGAGGAGACCTGTTGCTGAACAGTCGGCCTCACAAGGCACTGAGAAGGGTGTCTGGGAGGAATCTGCTTCACAGAAACACTCCACTCCTCAGGTGTGTTCTTTGAAACTGAGGAGACTTCTTGTTGGTCTTTGGGCTTCCCCAAAGCCTGGGAAGGGTGTCTGGGAGGCAGATCTTCCTCCAAGCTGCCCCAATCCTCAGCACTATTGTACTTTTCAACATAACTATTTGATTCTGTGGAGACTTCTCCTTCAGCCTCCCTCAAAGCCTGGGAAGCGCATCTGGGAGCCAGCTGCTCATCAGAACCACTCAATTCCACAACAAAACTTTTTGATTCTGTGAAGACTTCTTGGCCATTTTCAGGCTTCCCCGAGAATTGGAAAGAGTATCCAGGAGCCAGCTGCTGCTCGGAACTGCTCAGTTCCACAGCTGAACTCTCTGATCCTGGGAAGACTTCTCGTTCATCTTTGCACTTCCCCAAGGACTGGAAAGAGTATCTGGGAGCCAGCTGCTGCTCAGAACGACTCCTCGCCTCTGAAGTGCTCCCTGAATCTGAGGGGTCTTCTTCAGCTTTGGGCTTCCCTAAGGACCGGGAAAGGCTTCTGGGAGGCAGCTTCTCTGCAGAAATGCCTCCCTCTGCCAAAGCACTTGCCATACCCGAAATGCTTGCTGTAAAGGCCTGGAGAACATTTCTAGGAGGCTTCTCTTTGCAGATAGTTGGGATATCTTGAGGTGACTCCATTTTAAATTGGATGTTTTGAGAATCAAAGCTGGAAGCTTCCTCCTCTTCTGACTGAAGATGAGAAGGATCCATACATACCTGAGCCTTCACTGCCACTGAGAAAACGACATCTTCTTCCGTTGTGGAAGGGCTTTCCACCACTGGTAAAAGAGAAGCTCTGACTTCCATCTTCTCAGCTCCAGAAGCCCCATCTTCACGGTATGGTGATTGACCACTATCCGTGGACTCTTCCATGTCTTCAGGTGTGGGTTGTGATGCTGATGCTTTGCTGGCTTCAAAATCTGCACCAGCATTTCTCCTTCCCATGTCCTCTTTAGCTGAAAGCAACTCCAGAAGAGTAGTGGTTTCTGCCTGTGGTGTTATGGGCTGCTTCATGACTTGCTTCTCCAGGGACAAGAGCCAGGGAAGGCAATCCCTGGCAGTGTTATCATCAGTTGGGGACCCAGCTCTATCAACTAGGCCAAGCCTGTGATTGGATTGTTTCAAGCTTCTTCCTCTGGAACCGCGCTCACTCATTACTGAAGCACTCCACCCTTTTCTTACATGTTGTCTTCTATACACTGCTGACAACGGGCAGCCCTGACTCCAAATAGCATCTGTGTTTGAAGCCTGATCTACTGTCTTCTTCTCATAAATCTCAGTTTTGTTGCTCTGTTCCTGGCTCGAGGGACCTGTACCAAATAGAAATAAGGGAAGGAAAAATACGTGTAAAATAAGAATACTCTGCCCTGGCCCAGTGGGTACCCGTTTGCTATTGAATTCCCTAGTATGCAGAAGTAGCTATGCAGAAGATAGAGAACAACTTGGTCACTATAAGCCTTCGGCATTTGGAAATTTTTAAATCAAAGTGAAATCCCAGTTTTACAAACTGATTCCAAGGTTGGCTCATCACCATTATATCAATAGTCTGGTCCACCGTTTGGTGTGAGACACATCAAAAGGCAATTTTTGAACTTGTAACAATTACCTTTTAGGAAACTGCCTGGGACAGGGCGAAGGGAAATTTTACTTTCTAATTAGCATTTATATTTTCTACTTAATTCCACTTAATTTTCATATCATGTGCACGAATTGCTTTGCGTTTTAGAAAGGTGTCAACAGGGGTTATCTGGGAGGTAGGATTATGGCCCTCTCCTGCTCTCTATTCTCTTGTATTAAAATAATCCAATGTAATACACATGCAAAGCAATTCTTGGAAAGCCTTAACAATTGCATTGGTCCATAGGCTTCAGGTCAAGCACAAAGCAGCAGTTATTCAGAATGCTCATCTCTCTAGTACTCTTACTAAGGAATGCAGTTTGCTCTCCAGGTGGGAGGGCCCCCACTGCCTTCCCTCCCTCATCATCCACTGCATCCCTAGCGCCATCTAGTGGTTTCATATCCATCATACAGCACTGAGCACACCTAGCTGCGCTCCACACCACTCCCATTATATGGAAAAGCAATCAAAGTATCTGCTCCCATGGACACTGAATCAGTTCTATCCTCTGTGTATAAAAGGGACAACTATTAAAAAGAAATATGAAAAAAGATAAAAAGAAAGTGAAAGATTACTCAATTTGTTTTTTTTCTTTTTCTTTTTTTTCTTTGCAGAACAGTTTTGTGGTTTTGTTAGTTTTCACGGGAAAATATGTTTAGGGATATCCTGTCTTTGAACCCACATGTGAAATCCTTTGTGACAAAAATATGAAAAAACTGTTTGACTTGATTTGTGGAACTGGAATTTTATTTTATCAAGTATTGCTTGAAATTCGATTGCCATCAGCTGGAGCCAACAGCCGCACGTATACACACACAAACACACAGAGAGATTTTCACTCCAGTGGTATTTGTTGTTTGGGGATCTAACAGGTGTTGGCTGCCAAGGACATCTGTCTGCAGCTGGCCAAGCCCTCTTTGCCCGTGGATATGGGAACTGGTCTCACTGTTAACATAAGACCTTTTCTCTCGACTGGAAGAGGAATGCAGCTTTAAAAAACTAGTTTTGGGCCAATTGTGTTATTATCGCTGAGGGGGAATGCTGAAGGGAACTCACTGGCTGCCTCAGATATCTGGGCTCACTGAGGAACTCAGCATGTACATTAGACTTGGAGAGGATTAAACCAACTTACAAACAAACACAAAACACCTCTCTGGTTGCAAATTCACTTAGATAAAATTGGGATCCAGGTATAACCCTTTACCTAAATCCCACACAAGTGGCAATTGTACTAATTAGGTAGTTTAGATGGAGAAACTTGGACCACATTAGTAAGTATCTTCAATTGAAAGCTCTCTGAGGACCAAGGACAGCAGGCCTGAGTAATTCTCATTATACAGCTCCTGTCACATAGCACTGTGCAACTAAGCTTGTAGTACATGTTTCTGGGTGAGGGTGAAGATGTGCCAACCTGCACTGTCTTTTTTTGGCTTCTTTTGGTCAGCTTCTTTTGGTTGGTTTGTACTCTTGTCTTCTTCAAAAACCAGTGCAAGGCTTGGCTCCTCCGGCTTTGGTTTCACCTAAAAGAGGGAAAGAAAGAGCTTGAATCAGACTGTGCTCTCCACCCACCCCTGCATGGTTGCCAAAGAAAAGAACATCAGGAAAAAAGTCCTTGATATCCAAATGGTTCTGTTGGGAGCATAACAATACCATTAACGACGGAAATTCTTTCCAATGGCATTCATCACCTGGTGATCATTTTACCTATTGGAAGTAGTTCATCTAGATTGGAAATTTCTGATCTCTGAATGATATGCTGCAGGGAACTCTCTAAAACACCCCGGAAACCACTGAACCACACTGCAAGGCCATCAGTCTGAAAATGGGGTTGCTGGGCCTGACAACAATCATACTCTTGGCAACACTGGAATTCCCAAATTTGCTTCACCAGGTCTGGGAGCCAAATTCAAATCCTGTTTGGCTTCTTTTCAGGGAATTTATAAAAGCATGAATTACAACTTTCCAGCTGAAAAGAAGAAAGAAGATCGGGGTTTTGTTTGGAAGGAAGAGAGAAAAAGATGAAGCATTCAGCCTTTACACTGAAGGGGTCAAAATTAGCTTAGTATAAACAAGGTTTTCAGAGAATTACGGTGCAGCTTTGGGAATGTCAGAGTAGCACCACACTGAGCAGTGTTTGGAATTCGCTTAGTGTAAGCCTTTATGACATGCTTTTAAAGACAAATGTACAACTCTTTATGCTCCCAGTAAAAGTGCCTGTGCAAACAGACTCAGCTCAAAATTATTCACTTTTGAGTGATGAGGTCAGATAGACCTGGGTTCAAATCTCTGCTCCATCATTTTCTCTCTGTGTGACCTTGGGCATGTTAGTCTCTAAATCTCTGTGTCCACATCTACAAATCAAAGATAACGGGAAGCCTCCTGTGGGCCTTGCAGACGTAAGAAATTCGAAAGCAGGGAGCAAGTGGCAGCAGCCTTAGTGTCAGAAATGATCCTGGACCCTTTTATATTCATCCGTGTGTCAGGGAGAAAGTCACAAGGAAGAAGTAGATGTCACAGTCTTCTTCAAGAGTGCTGCCTAGGTCTTTCCTCAATTAGGCTATGCAGAAGGAAGAAGGTCAGAAGGGTCACACTAAGTTTCCTTTAGCCAACCCTCCCCACCTCCCAGGTTTGCAGTGAAGTGTCCAGGTTGGCCACCCTCTGCTTGACACTAAACTATGGAGATCCTCTCAGGGCCTGCCAAGTGTTCATTCAACTTGTACTTTGTTCTCTTTCTAAAGCTAAACTGAGATGACTAAGCAAAGGGCAACATGGTGAGGTGAAAAGAGTCCTGGGCTGGAAGTCAGAAGACTGGGTTCTGGCCCTAGCTCTGCCACCACCAGGGGATTTGACCTTGGGCAAATATTTATGCTTTTATGTCCTTCCCGGTAAAATGTTCGTAACTACAAAATCTTTTAGTCTCTTTCAGCTCTGATTTATAGCCCTTTACTTATAGCCCAGAGTCACTGAGGAATTGGGTGTTTGACCAAAGTGAATCTTCCAGCTAACTGACATATCCTTTTAAACACCAACATCTTCCCATCTGTCTTAGCTTTTAGTAAAAATCTTTTCCAAAGGCATTACTTCCCTATCTTCCTAAACAAAGATCAGGGAACATAGTTAAACTTTTCTTGATGACTCGGACAAATAATGAACACGATCTATCACACTGGACTATGATACAGTGTGGCCCTGAGGGACTTATTGAGGTGGGCAAGGTTCTTGGTCCTTATACTAAATGGCCCCAGATCGTTTCTGTGATCTCTCTCTGTTATCAACTCTCACTTCTCCTTGCTGTCAGATCTCTAAGTCTGATCTGTGGCCATGTTTTCAACAAAATTGGCTTGCCTAAGTGTAGCTCTGCCTGCTAGAAAGTCATGTGACAGGACTTTGTGACATCTATGTGACACCAAGAGATTTTTGGAGAGGTTAATAGCTGAGTTCTGAATGCTTAGAGTTGCTGGGAGCCTGACCTCAAGTGACTGGAACAATTTGTAACTCATGGGTCTTATCTGATTAATAATTAAAAGGATCCTGATCTGGACTATAGTTGAGTATCTTCTACAAAGAGGGCTGAGCGAATTCCCAGATGCTAAGCCAATAATCAGTTTCTGGGGTTTAGGTCACTGTTTCTGCTTTCTTCAGTGCCTTTTATGTAAGTTCCACATGGTTGGGGCATCCCACCCACTAGATGCAAATTTGCTCACCTCTCTGGGGGTGTCAAGCCTGGGACAGTGCTCTTGACTTTACCGTCCCTACTTAGGGTACGGATCCCCCAAACCATACCACTTCCATAGGAGCAGTTTGCAAAGGTTGGAACTCGTCTTTTATTTTATAGGAGTTTATTCCCGGGCCTCTTGAAGGACTTACAGTCACTTGTGGGTTATTCTTCTTTTGCTTTCGGGGGTTTAAAGCCATCTTGTGTCGAGCCGCTGAGGAATCCAAACAGCCCTGGGTGGTGGCTGGGATGCTGAAACTAAGAGGCAGCTGAGCGCTGCTGGGAGAGGCACGCGTGGCAAGCATGGTCACAGACTGTGAGTGAAGAGATCCAGGTGAGGGCTCAAAGGTGCTCTGGAGAGAGTGGGAGAAAAGAAATGAGTCAAACTCCATTTCCTGTCACTGCTCTCAAAGGTTGGAAATTGCTCTCACTGAAGCATTCCTAAAGAAGAAATCCTTCATGAACCACTGTTCATTTTTCCTACAGCAATATTGGCACTTTCAGTTAATAGGCTCATTGGAGGCAAGGTGCACACTTTCTGCTTGTTCCCTTGCAGGTGAAAACAAGAAACAAGAAGTTTGGGTTACTTCTCTGCTCAGAAAGCTCCCCTTTGACCACGGGATAGAAACCCAACCATTTAATGGAGTTTACAATGTCAGAGGGCTTGCATGTTCTCTTGTCCTGTACCGCCTTTTGCTAATAGGATGGGGTGATTGTGGTGAGAGGCACAGTCTGTGTCATTAAAACCCAACAGGGCTTTGGGATTCTCCATAGGAAGGCTTGGCGGAGGGAAGAAAATCAGGTTGGAAGAGGGCTTGTCTGTAAGCTGTGTTTGCATGAACAGCACACTACTTTTACTTATATTTACCGTTCATGGGTGCAAGGCTGATGGGAGCGCCCTGAGGAACTGAGTCCTCCCACCCCCAATGGGGTGGGGATGGAGACTGTCACCTTGTCCTCATTATGGCTGCCTCCACCTCTCCAAACTCTCTGATCCTGGGGCTCCTAGTTGGGTTCCCCTGTAGGAGCTTCAAAATAGTCTTTTCTGGGCTTCTTGACATAGCATTTTCCACACCTCAAAGAGACACCCCAGAGTGCCTCTCATTCCTAGGAAGCTCTAGACATTTGTATTAGCAGAAGTCCCTTTGAAGACCAGGTGATGAGCCATCTCTCTCCTCGACACCAGTGGCAAATGATGTAGTTTAGAAGGTGGGCAAAATTTCCATTTGTGTTTATTTATTCATTCTTTTCAAACTAGCTTTACACAGTGCCAGGGACCCCTTTGGTATTTTCAGCTTTCATATCCCTTCACATTTCCCCACCTCCATTGTATGTTGATCCATTGATAACCTTAGCTACTATCTTGGTTCCAAATATGGTTCTTTTTTGGCCTGTGATTCCAGTGCCTGAGGACTTAACACAGGGCTAATGGGTGAAGCTGATGATACATCTGGCTCATCGTTCCAGTGTTGGGTTTTTTTTGGTGAGAAAGATTGGCCCTGAGCTAACATCTGTTGCCAATCTTCCTGTTTTTGCTTGAGGAAGATTGTCCCTGAGCTAACATCTGTGCCAATCTTCCTCTATTTCGTATGTAGGACGCCACCACAGCATGGTTTGATGAGTGGTGTGTAGGTCCGCACCCAGGATCTGAACCCATGAACCCTGGGTTGCCGAAGCAGAGAGTGTAAACTTAACCACTATGCTACTGGGTTGGCCCTCATCCTTCTGTTTTTAATTCTAGGAAAAGGAGGAGGAATATTTCAGTCAACTTTTGTGGAGTCAATCACACAAAATTAGGAGTCATCCCAAGCCTTTCCTAACTTCTTTATGCAACTGTCATCCATGAATTTATTTAGCACTTCTTCCTGATACTGCATATTTGACTTACGTTATCTCTTGGAATTATGAATTTAATACTCAGTGTACCAAGTAATGTCTCTCGTTTTATTGTTCTGAAAATTTTTCATGCTTCAGGGTAGTCTCAAAGTTCTGGTCTCCTGGAACTAGACGAGAACATCTATGTTCCCACTAATCTCACATGATCTATCTCCCCATTTCCTCTCTGACCATGTCTCTTACTACTTTCTGCTCCAGACACACTGCTGGTTTGCTGTTCCTCAAACATGCTATGCATGCTCTTCCCTCAGGGCATTTGCACTTGCTGTTCCCTCTGCTGGGCATGCTCTTCCTCATGTCCATGTGTCTAGCTCCCTCACTTCCTTCAGGTCTTGATACAAAAGGCACTTTCTCAGTGACACCTTCCCTGGCCAACCTATTTAAAATTTTTGCCCTCCACCTTGACACTTCATGATCCCCTTCCCTGTGTTATTTTTTTCTCCTTGGCACTTTGATCACTGTCTAACATACTGTATATTTTGCTTATTCTCTTGTTTATTGTCCATGTCTCCCACTACAAAGATAAACTCCATGAAGAAGGGCTTTCATCTGTTTTACTTACTACTGTATCTCTAACACTTAAAGTTGTGCTTGGTACATAGTAGTTGCTCAATAAGTGCTTGTTTAAATGGTGAATTATTTATGTTAAAAGCTTCCACCAGCTGTTGCCTTTTTGAGACATCATCAGAGAAAGCTCCTCTGTTCTCTATCATTTTACTTATTCTTTCTGAGACCTCACCAGCTTCAGCCGAAGGGAAATGGAAAAAGTCAAGGAGGTCTGTGGGCCTGGAAACCCCAAAAGGACACCATGTAACTTGCTTTGCATGAAAGCTAATTTATGATGCCTAGACAGCAAGGAGATACACATTTAATAAATATTTTCAATTCAGTTGGTATCCCAAACCTTGTGGTATTAACACTATAGACAGAAGCACTGTTTAGTGAAACTCATTCTATAGCATAACAGAGAAATCTGGCTCAGCAAAATTCTAGCAATTTCTAGATTGAGTGTGCACAGGAGAAGGCTTACCTGTTCCCAATCACAGCCTAAGCCAAGAGTCCCTCAAACTTAATAAGAGCCACTATCCTTCCTGTGCTTTATTGACTCTCATTAAGGAATTGCTAGGCATTAGCTCTAAGCACAGAACCACAGCTATCCTCAATCCTGGGCTAAAAATGAGAGAGCAAAGCCATCAAGCATTATCCCCACCTGATTATGGTGCTCAAGCTCAGGCATGTGATTCAAAACAGCCTCAGGAGGCTCTCTGTTGTTGGGTTTAGAGTATGTTGTATGGGTATAGAGTATGTGTATATTTTATAACTTCCCTTAAACTCACCAGTGAATTAAATAAACTATGCATTAAATAAACTATTCAAACTCTCTGGAACTCTGGGCAGTGTCTCTCAAAGTATGGTCTAGGAACCCCCCAGCATCAGAATCACCCAGATTGAGTGATGAAAAAGCACATTTTAAGGACATTATCAAGATCAGATGAGTAAGACTATCAGGGGAGGGGCCTTAGACTAGCTTAACAGGCTCTCCACGTGAGTCTTCTGGGGACCAGGGTTGCAAACTACCGCCCAATCCTCTGGCATGAAAAGAAAGCCCCCCATCTTCGAACAGAGCACAGCAAGTCGCTAAATAGCCCCATCAAGTGCCTTAGAACAGGAGCCAGCAAGATCCGGATTCCTTCTGGGAAGTAAGGCTCCTGTTTAGTCCCTATCTTTTCCCTCAGCGATATTGGTTAGGAGAAGCCTAGAAAAGTTACCACAGGAGCCAACCTTAGAATTTTATGAGCTACCCAGAAAAAGCAAACCTAATCCCTTCCTGGAAGGTTTCTGAAAGAAAACTGAGTGGAGGAAGTGGGACTTGTTTCTCTACTTTTCCTTCTGCACCCCTCCTGCAACCCCACTCCTCCCTCCCTGCACTCTGAGAGCCGACACACCCTCTCTGTACCCAGTGGCAGATGTCTTCATTCCTTCTTCTGTGTTTAGATGGAGGTTAGAACAGACAACTGCTGATTAACAGCTAGAGTTGAATGAGCTCCTTTTGCCTCAAGATCTGGGAGCTGTACCAAGCCTGGCACCTATTAATCCAGAATCTTCCTGGAGAAGGAAGCTGGGTCAGGCCTCGGGCCAGGGGAAGGGATCCTTCAGCACTGGTTGCTAGGGGTGCTGGACACTCAGTTGCTGTAAGTTGGGGTAAGGGCTGCTCTTTGGAAAATTAAGACACATTTTGGCTCCTTTTTCCCCTTCTGTCAAGTTTCTAGGCCCAGTGCAAAATAGTTCCATCAATAATGCACCCTTTTGGTCTTCTTTTTGATGGTTCCTTGTCTGTTGTATGATGCTAGGGTTGTCCCCTTTTCCTTTAACGGTTGATAAGAAACACTTGAGTGGGGATAGGGAGCAGTTTGGCTGCTTCTTAGAACAAAGAAGAACCCCAATTACTATGTCTTAAATAAGGGCATTACTTGGTGGCTATTTAGGCCCAGATTTCATTAAGCACTTAGCCTGAAAAGCTGTCACCCTGGGGAAAAACTTACTCTGAAACTGTCTGGGAGGTTTGACACTGGGACGCTGGGGAGCTGGTTTCTGTGCAAGCCATTCAGCCAAAGGCTTGAAAGGCAAGTAGTCTTTCGAACATCTCCAGAAGAAGCAGCAGCTCTTGGTGGGAAAAGTGGTTCTTGGTGCGAGGCTTCTCTACTAAGATGTACTGGCAGAGAGGAACCGTCACACCTTTTGCCGTGTTGGACTTCTGTCCCTGACAGAGGGACGTCAGCAAAATGGCGGGGTGAGCTGACCCAGGACTCTCTCCCCACCAAACTACAACCAAAGAACTGGAACAACGGAATTTCAACCAATAACCCTAATACAGAGACTGTCAGAGACGTACAGCAGCAAGACGATGGAGGACAGAGAGGCTGCAGCTGGCTTCGGAGGAGCTGGAATGGGGTAAGAGAGAACTTCCCTCCCTCCCCTAGAGACTGGGATCGCTCCTGTGGGTGAAGGAAGGAGCAGGGATCTGGGGATCATCCAGGACTTCCACCACCGGTGCAGTGGAAACCCACTGACAGGGGGAAAGCTTCTGTGTGCGGGGACCCCGTCAAGCCAGGGCCCCGGGAGACCAGAGAGCAAAAGCTGATTGGAATCCAGATCTGCAGTCGAGAGAAACTGCCTCTCCTCTCCCAAGCCGTGCTTCACGCCTGCCATCGCGGCTGAAGGCAGAGGGTTCAGAACGTGTGGCTCTTGACCCCCATCTAGTGGCGACAGGCTGTAACTACAACTGAATACTACCATCATGTGAAAAAACCACTCCTCTACCATCCAGCAATTTATAAAAGCTCCAGACCAGAAGGAAAACAATAAAAACACAGAATTAAGTCCTGAGGACTTGGAAATAGGTAAACTAAGTGAAAATGAGTTCAGAGTAGCTATCATCAAAAAACTCAATGAGGTA